TCTGCTCCTATGATGCTGCTTGGCCTGCTGTGTTCATCCAGCCCTGCACCTTGTTGTCTCCTGCTATTTGATTGTTTTCCTGCTTCTCTGTCCCATCTCTGTTAAAAGTGAAAGCAGTGTCTTGGAGATGAATGGGAGTTCAGGATTCAGAATCTTAAACTTTAACCATCTGTTCTCCCCTCGCCTTCACGCTCAACAAACTCTCCTGTTTTGCAAGATTTGTTTTACAGACAAGGGGCTTTGGATGATAGAGTCACAGAGGTTTACAGCACGGAAACAGGCCCTTTGGCCCAACTTGTCCATGCCGCTTAGTTTACACAATTAATCTAGTCCCATCTGTCTGCGTTTAGTCCATATCCCTTTATACCTATCCCATCCATGTATTTTTTCAAATGTTTCTTAAATGGCAAAATTGTACTCATCTCCACCCCTACCTCTGGCAGCCTATTCCAAACATTCACCACCTTCTGTGTGAAAAAATTGCTCCTCTGGACCCTTTTGTATCTTTTGCCTCACCTTAAACCTATGCCCTCTAGTTTTAGACTCCCCTACCATAGGTAAAAATTGTTGGCTATCTATCTTATCTATGCCTTTCATGATTTTATAAACCTCTATAAGGTCACCCCACAGTCTAATACGCTCAAGAGAAAAAAGTTCCAGCCTCTCCCTATAACTCAAACTTTCCAGTCCAGGTATCATCCTAGTAAATATTTTCTGCACTCTTTCTAGTGTAACAATATTCTTTCTATAGTCAGGCAACCAGAACTGCATGCAGTATTCCAAATGTGGCCTTACCAATATCTTACACAGCAGCAACAAGACATCACAACTCCTTTACTCAATGCTCTGACTGATGAAAACAAGCATGCTGAAAGCCTTCTTCTCTACCTGTGACTCCATTTTCAAGGAGCTCTGAACCTGCACCCCTAGATTCCTTTGTTCTATAACACTGCACGGAGCCCTACCTTTGACAGTGTAAGTCTTGCTCAGGTTTGACCTACCCAATAAACAACACCTTGCATTTATCTAAATTAAACTCCATCTGCCATTCCTCAGCCCATTGACCCAGTTGATCAAGATCTCACTGTATTCCCAGGCAACTGTCTTCACTGAATACTATATCAACAATCTTGGTGTCATCTGCAAACTTACTAACCAAACCTCCCAAATTCTCATCCAAATTACTTATATAAATGATGAATAACAGTGGACCCAGCACTGATCCCTGTGGCACACTGCTGGTCACGGGCCTCCATTTTGAAAAACAATGCTCTACCACCACCCTCTGTCTTCTACCTTCAAGCTAATGTTGTATCCAGTTGGCTAGCTCTCCCTGGATCCCATGAGATTTAACCTTACTCATCAACTCGCCATGCAGTATCTTATCAAAGGCCTTGCTAAAGTTCATGTAGACAACGCCTACTGCACTTGGTGTAGTTGTACATTACATGATTAGCTCACTTTATAGCCTCCACTAGAGTTTTGAGTTTTGTGTTATCGAGTTATATCTGCCTCTTGCCCTAAACATTACATATCTCACAGAACAATAGGAGTAAGTGCCTTGCCCTGACTGAAACTAGAATGTGAATTTTTATTGATCAAGAGCATGCCAATGCTTAGCAATGTTTAGCTCCAGTCCTGTCATATAATAGCTGTGATCAAAATGGCTCTTTGACTGTGTGCTTCTAATTTTAGTTTAGTTTTACAGCGAAGTCAAATTAAACAAAATCACATGTTAAAAGTGATACAGCACGGCATTTATAAAACTATACATTGTTAAATTATTTAACTATACACTGGGAAACAATGTCATTTCAATGAACATTCCAGTGCTGAGGGAAGGCTGGATTGTCTGAAGTGACGTTCTTTTGATAAACCCCTTTCTGATGCCTGTTACAGTGATTGCAACATTGCATCATTCAACAAGGAGCAGTAAATACTCCCTTGGTGTCTTTATTCATATACTTGTTCGGATAGTTTGCTGCCAACAATATTTCTTTCTCTATGGTGAGTATAGGGCCTTTTAATTAGCAGTTGTAGTGATTTCCTACGAGTGCTCTAAATAGAGGAAGTAGTTGTCTAACATAGAAAGGTAGCCTATTGCATGATAGCAGTAGGAACAGCTTACTTTTTTTTAATTCACTCATGAGATGTGGGCATTGCTGGCAGGGCCAGCATTTATTGCCCAAGCATAGTTGCTGTTGAGAAGCTGGTCATGAGCTGCCTTCTTGAACTGCTACAGACCATGTGCTGTAGGTTGACCCACAATACTGTTAGGGAGGATGTTCCAGGATTGTGATCCAGCAACACTGAATAAACGATGATATACTTCCAAATCAGGATGGTGAGTGGCTTGGAGGGGTACTTGCAGGTGGTGATATTCCTGTGTTTCTGCTTCACTTGCCCTTTTAAATGGTAGTAGTTGTGGATTTAGAAGAGCAGTCTCAGGATCTTTAGTGAATCTCTACATTGCCCTTTGCAGAAAGTACACACTGCAGCTCCTGAGTGTCGCTGGTGGAGTGACAGAATGTTTGTGGATGTGGCCTGCTTGTCCTGGGTGGTGTCAAGCCTCTTGAATGTTGGTGGCGCTGCATTCATTCAGGCAAGTGGGGAGTATTCTATTACACACCTCACTTGAGCTTTGTAGACAGTAGACAGGCTTTGGGGAGTCAGGAGGCAAGTTATTTGCTGCAGGATTCCTCGTTTCTGATCTGCTCTTGCTGCCATAGTATTTATATGGTGAATCCAGTTTGGTTTCTGGTCAATGATAACCTTCAGAATGATATCGAGTTAAAGCTTGCCAAACACAATTCCAAACTAAACTGATCCCACCTGCCTGCTGCTGGCCCATATTCCTCCAAACCTTTCCTATTCATATATCCATCCAAATGTCTTTTAAACATTGTAATTGTACCCATATCCACCACTTCATCAAGCAGTTCATTCCACACATGAACCGCGTTCTGTGTAAAAACAATTTGCAGTGATTCAGGGAAGATAATGTTATTGAATGTCAAGGGATGATTGCCCTTAATGGAAATGATCGTTGCCTGGTATTTGTGTAGCGTGAATATTACTTGCTACTTTTCAGCTCAGGCATAGATATTATTCAAGACTTACTGTATTCAGATGGGGACTGCTTCAATAATAGATGCTCAACATGGTGCAATCATCAGCAAACATTTCCACTTGCGACCTTACGGTGTGAATGGAAGATCATTAACGAAGCAGTTGAAGATTGTTGGGCTGAAGATACTTGCTAGACATAATAACTTAGAACAATCAGGAGCTGTGTAGAACACATCTGCTCCCCTTAGGAACTAATGTAGATCTCAACTGTCTCCACCCAAAGACTGTGTGACATAATCCAAATGGATACAGCTTAATGTAAATTTACATTACCTCCTTGAGAACCATGACCTGATACAACATCTTGGCCAATATTTTCTCTCAGAAAGCACAACTAAGAGCTCTGAACTGACCAGTCTTTTCACTGTTTTGAGATAGAATTTGTTGCTAAGTAAAATGGATGCTGTCATTTTTATATAAAAATGAGTATGCTACAAAATAAAGCAAACTGCCAACTAATTATTTTTTTGGTTCCCTCCCTGTTAGAGGGTAAGTTCTTTGCTTCAGATGGTGTGATAGAGTGCATCATAGAGCCCCTACAGTGAAAATCAGGCTATTTGGCCCATCAATACTCCAAGACTCCAAAGAACGTCTCACTCAGACACATTCTCACGCCCTCTGCGTGAATAAAAGTTACCTCTCATGTCCATTTTAAATCTTTCCCCTCTCACCTTAAACCTATCCTCTATAGTTTTGAACTTCCCTACCCTAGGAAGAGGAACTTGGCTATTTATCCTCTCCATGGCCCTCATGATTTCATAAACCTCTACCAGGTCACCTCTCAGCCTCCGATGCTACAGGGAAAAAAGCCCAGCCTATTCAGCCTGTCCCTATAGCTCAATCCCTCCAATCCCAGCAAAATCCTTATAACTCTTTTCTGAACTCTTTCAAGTTTAACAACATTTTCCTATAGCAGGGAAACTAGAATTGAACGCTGTATTCCAAAAGTAGTTTCACCAATGTCCTGCACAGACGCAACATAATATCCAAATTCCTATACTAAATGAACTGACCAATCAAGGCAAGCATGCCAATTGCCTTCTTCGCCACCCTGTCTACCTGTGACCCCATTTTCAATGAAAGATGAACCTGCACCCCAAGATTTACTTGTTCAGCGACACTGCCCAGGCCCCTATCATTAACTGTATGCATCCTTCCCTGGTTTGCCTTTCCAAAATACAACACCTCACATTTATCTAAACAAAATTTCATTTGTCACTCCTTGGCCCATTAGCCCATCTGATCAAAGTCCCACTGTACTCCAAGATAACCTTCTTCGCTGCCCACAGCAGCAACAATTTTGGTGTCATCTGCAAACTTACTGACCATTCCTCCTATATTCACATCCAAATCATTTATATAAATGATGAAAAGCAATGGACCCAGCACCGACCCTTGCAGCGCAACACTGATCACAGACAATCTGTCCAAAAAACAACCTTCCCAACCACACTCTGTCTCCTACCTTCTAGCCAATTTTATATCCAATTGACTAGTTCCCCCTTAATTCTATGTGATGTAACCTTGCTAACCAGTTTTCTATGTTCTTGTATGAATTTTTATAAATCTTGAAGAAAAATATTGGCAAGTTTAGAATTCATGAGAAAAGATTTAATAATCCTATTCCAAAAACAATATAAAGATTAGTGTACAAATATTACCTATTATGTAATACTTCAGAAGTAAAGATTTTTGGTACATGTTAATTTGAAGTTTGATTGAATTTTGGAAGCATTACCCACATATTTGGTAGACCAGTTTCAGTAAAATGTAGTAGAGCTGACTCTGTGTGTTTCTCTGTTTGTTTCAGTGTCGAGACTACAGGCAAGGTGTCCTAACAGGAGATTTATGTGAGGATTTATGTGTGACACAGACTATGGTTTACAAGCGCTGTCTTTACTACGACAAAGGGAAAAAAGTCATCCAGGCTGATTGGAATGGTCAGCCCATCATACTAAAATCCAAACTGGAGAACTTCCTGAGCTATGAAAGTCTGTACCTATTGGATGAGCGAGAAAGCAGACCCATTCCAGATGTCGATATCCTTGTCTTTACTGCACTGGAAATCAAGCACTCCTTGGGACTGGAGGTGAAGAATGTCACAATACCGCAGCTATGGACCAAGCACCTAAAAGGCAGGACAGGCTCGTTCTCTAGGGCGGAGCTGTCTAGTATGTGGTCCCTCTTTCAGCAGGAGGAGTATGTGTTTTTCCAGTTGTTGCAAAACCTCAGTAAGCACGTTCTCAGAGTAATTGGCTCCTGTGGACATTTCTATGCTGTGGAGTACCTTACAGCTGGTCACGCTTGGCACCGCAGCCTGTTCTCCCTTGAAAAGCTGGTCCCCCTTTCCTGGCGAGGCAGTAGCAGAAAGGCATGGTGGCAGGTGACAAATGGAATCGCATTGAGCTTCCTCGAATTGGCCAGGCATTTTGAGAATGACTTTTCTCACCAGCTTCATCTTTGTGATATCAAACCAGAAAACTTTGCCATCAGGGCTGATTTAACGGTAATTTCTCAGCAAGTAGAAAATGGGAATTAATATTGAAAACACAGGCACATTGTTTTGCCATTCAGACATGAATTTAAAGGATATGGTAAATCCAGAGTTGTGTGCTAGAGATGAGGAGAAATTTCTTCATTCAGAGAGTGGTAAGCCTGAGGAATTCTCTGCCACAGAAAGCAGTTGAGGCCAAAACATTGAATGTTTTCAAGGAGTTGGATATAGTTCTTAGATCTAAAAGGATCAAATGATATGTGAAGAAAATGGGAAGAGAGTACTGGGAAGAGTTGAATAATGAGCCATGATTATATTAAATGGCAAGCAAAACCAAGGGGACAAATGGCCTACTCCTTCTCCTACATTTCTGTTTCTATGTAATTGCAGACTAACCATGATCCAGTTGAATGGCAGAACAAACTAGAGTGGTTGATAAATAAGCCCCTCTTCCCATGTTCCTAGATTTCAATGACATAGATTGAAGTGCACACTGGACAAATCAGTAGGGGGGAGAACTGTGTTAAGTTCCAGCTCCTGATTGTTAACTGAATCAAAGCGCATAAGTGAGTTTGGAACAAAGAATTTTTCCCTGACAGAAGATTTATTGACTTGTACACAGTTCTCCTCATACTGGTCCAGAACTACAAGTAAAACCTGTTTACTAAATTCACTTGACAATAACACTGGTTATTATGCAGTGATTCCTGCTGGAATTGAATGTGTGTCAGCATATATCTGTGTATGTAGATCAATGCAAGTGCATATGTGTGTGTCTGCACAAATCTATGTCTGCATTTGTGTGTATATCTGCACATTGCGTACATGTTTGTGTGTGCCTGTAAACACACAGTTTGTCTATGTATGTGTGTATTTGCAAATGTGTGTGACTGTATATGCGTGTGTGTATGTGTGCATGTGCCTGTGATTGTATAAGTGTATGTCTCTACACAGGCATACACTTGTGTGTGTATGCATTTGAACATGCACATGAATGTTGAGTGAGATTTGTTCAATTTTCAGATATTAATACAGATAAAAGATTAAAATTCTTTTTATTAAATTGAAGTTTAACAATTAAGTCATGATTAAATGTAGAAGTTAATCCATTCATTTCAAATTCCTCTCTCCATTATTGTTACAGGGCATTGATCTAATTACTGTTAAAAGGATGAATACTGTCTTTAAATTAACAGAGAGGGGATCAGCTTCGTCAAAGTGTTTCTATGATATCAGCACTTATATTAAATTCAAGGTTTTTTTTGCATTGCAATATCAGTTTCAGGTATAAATAAGATGTTTTGAGAAAGATATAATTTTTTTAAGGTTGAAACTGAAATTGAAATCTGTAGCATTCTCCATAATCTCAAGCATACTACACGAAAGAGAATCCCCATAGAATTTAAGAAAACAGCTGGCTCTGTGTTCATCTTCTTGTAATCTTAAGACTGCACAACAGGCCTGCTTCATCTTCACACTAAGTTACTATGCCGTAGAGGCTATCTTCAGGATGTTAACAACAGCTTGTGACAGATCAGAGGTAAAATGAACTTGGCATTTTCACACTGGCCTCAATGGATCCTATTCCACCACAAGTCCGTTCTCTTTATGTGTGGTGGAAGATAACACCTATAATCTCAGTTTTGAAATTGTCATACTGGTGTGTCAGGGGACAGGCAATGGAGGGAGGGGATTCCTTGTGATTTTCTCTGAAGTGGCATCATAAAATAAGGTAGGGAGCATGGAGTATGTCATTTATTATTCACTTCAACCAGGCAAATCATTCATACTAAATTTACTCCAGACCATACAATCTCAAACTTACTGGCATAAAACCACACATAAGTAAAGCAACAAAAGGAAAGAAATATGTACAGTTTATAGTATACTTGATGAACGCAGGATGACCTAGAACACTTAACAGCTGACGAAACACTTCCTGGCAGTTAAACTAGGATCACAGTGACCGGTGATCTCCACTAGGAATCCGCTGAAGCTCAATGAGTAAGAGAAAGGGCCGAGGTCTTTGACAGAAGGGACACCAAAGAACTCACAAATGCTGAACAGAATTTGCAGTGATTCAGTGTTGCTGGACGTCTGCTCCCTTCACTCAGAGAGATAAACATCTGCCCCTAGTGGCCACTGTATTAAAAGGTTGGTCTGCCAGACAGGCTGTGCCTCAGGCTTATGTTTACTGTTGGAACCTGGTGCCAATAAGTGATAATGATGTTTGCCTGCTGATACCTGCCATACTGTGTTGACACTGGGTAAGTTCCTGAAACAGGGTGTAGCAACTACCAACTTCGAGAACTCATGACTGTTCAGGACGAACAGAAGCTGACATTTGGGTGGTGGGATGAGTTTGTTGGAACAGTCTTTGATTTTCAATTCTATTGAGCACGTACATATGGATAAATATTGTTTACTTATTCAGCCAGACTGTGGCTACAAGAGCGGGTTGGAGGCTTGGAGTAATTCACCTCCTGACTCCCCAAAGCCTATCCACCATCTACAAGGCACAAGTAAGGAGCATGATGGAATACTCCACCTGTCTAGATGACAGGAGTTCAAACACTCAAGATTCTTGACACTATCCAGGAAAAATCAGCCCTCTTAATTGGCACCAAATCCACTACCTATTACATTCACTCCCTTCACAAAATGTACGAAATGTACTGAAACAACTCACCAAGGCTCCTTCAACAACATCTTCCATTCATCAGCTCATCATTCAATGAGATCCTGGCTAATCTGACAATCCTGAACTCTACTTTCTTGCCGTTCCTACCTTGATTTCATTACTGATTAAAATTCTACCTTGGTCTTGAATATACTCAATAACCCAGCCTCAACAGCCCTCTTACGGTAAAGAATTCCACAGATCCACAACCCTCAGAGAAGTAATTTCTCATCTCTGTTTAAAACTTAATGATTTATTATTTATTAAAACCCATTATTCTGAGATCACACCTTCTGGTCCTAGACTATCCCACAGGGGGAAACAACCTCTCTACGTCCACCCTGTCAAGTCTTCTTAGTAAACTGGTTTTATGTAAATATCTCATGTGTCCTTGTCAAATATCCAATGTGTAAGCAAGTAAAAGATAGTCAAATGTTTCATATGACTAGTTAAAGTTCTTTAAGCTTCATTAAGTTACAGCAGCCTGATGATCATTATGATGACCATGGTTACTGAGGACTCGGTTAAATTCTTTCCTTGTCCAATATCTGCCCTTATTAAAACCACTCTAAGTTTCCCATCCATATCATAATATCTCATTAATACAGCAAATAGAAATGTTTCTGAGCACATTTAGGGTTGTATCTGTTAATAATGTTTGGGGGCATTTTCTATTCTTATATATATGTAATCTCATTTGTCAAAGATTATGAACTAATAGCTATTAATTAAATACTGATAAAATTGATTTGAGGGTTTAAATAGTATTTCCATTTTACTGTTACAGGTTGTTGCGATTGATGTTGACATGGCATTTTTTGAACCCAAAATGCGTGCCATCCTTGAACAAAATTGTACAGATGATGAAGACTGCAACTTCTTTGACTGTTTCTCTAGGTGCAATATTGAGACTAAAAAATGCAGGGCAGAACGTTCAAATAATAATCTCCAGGTCAGTTGTAATATTTTACTTTAAAATTTCATGAATAATTGTTTCTAATTATCATTTCTTTTTGATGTAATATCCTAAATGGGATATTAGTTGTGGTTTATGACCATTATGAGCACAACCAGCAAATCGATTCACAAATCCTAGGTTCCACCTTCTTCTATGGCTGAACAGTTACTCATTGCCTCTCAAAGGCTCCTGTGTTTCTCATCTTTCCAGTTGGCATTTCTATCCCTCTTTATTGTTTGTTGGTGTATTCTCATTTCTCTTCCTAAAACAAATTTCCATTCTGCATTATCTGTCTCAAGCATGAATGCATCTGCAACATGGGGACTGCAGCAGATCGCGAAAGTTGCTCATTGCGACCTTCAGCAGGGGCAGTTCAGGATGGACACCAAATGCCAGCCTACCCTGGTGGCTCTCTAACCACAAAAGAACCAAAATGTAATTAATTTAGGGAATGCAACCTCAACATACCCTAAACTCAAATCTTCTTGGTCAGTGTAGATTCACTGCAGGAATTAACCTTTTCTCGCTCACTCTCTGCTTGCCATGTGAGTGACTATGGTGACTCAGAATTGATTTCCTTAGTTTTAATACACATAAGAACTAATTATAATAAGAACACAGGAGCATAGTATGGAAGTAGGCCATTTAGCCTCTCAAGCCTGCTCTTCTATTCTAGATCATAACTGATTAACTATTAAGTGCCATGTTCCCATACTATCTCCATATTTCTTGATATCATTAGTAGTTAGAAATCTATCAATCTCTGCCTTGAACTGACTTAATGACTGACCTTCTATAGGGCCCTGGGGTTAAGAGTCCCAAAGATCCACCACCCTCTGAGTGAAGACCTTCCTCCTCCTCACAGTCCTAAATGTCTTGCCTTCTATTCTGAGACTGTGCCCCTTGGTTATAGGGCCCACAGATTGTGGAAATATATTTTCAGTATCTACTCTGTCTACCTCTAAGTATTTTGTAGGTTTCCATGAGATCACTTCTCTTTATCCTAAACTTCAGAGAATCCAAACCCAGTCTCATCACCTGTCCTGGCAGAACTGTCCCACCATCCCAGGAATCAGTTTGGTAAAGGTCTTCTGCACTTTGGCACCTTATCAAATGGCACTTTTGATAAACTGGCAAAAATTATATACCTCAAACACCGCAATGTCCAAGTATTTATGATGTAAATAAAGTATAACAGTGATGTATATTCTCCTTGCATTATGTTTCTATTACTTACTGTGTTTTACATCGATTTTTGGAGGTATTTTGATATTTTTACATAGATTTTTTGAGCGATGTTGATGTCTCAAAGCTTCATTTTGTCAGGGTTTAGCATAGTTATGCATACCTTTGATCAACTGGCACAATCCTGGTCCCATAGGTGCTGGTTAATAAAAGTTTGGCTTTTGTACTTTTCTTTAGGAAAGGGAACCAAAACTGCACTGGGTATACTAGGTGTGGGCTCACCAACAGTCTGTACAATTGAAGCAAGAGTTCTTTGCTCTTGTATTCCAATCTTCCTCTGATAAAATCTAACATATCATTTGAATTGTAGAATCACTACAGTTAAGAAGAAGGCCATTTGGTCCATCAAATTCACACCAGCCCTCCAAACAGCATCCCACCCAGACCTACCCCATCCCCCTAACCCTGCATTTTCCACAGCTAACCCAGATATTCCTGGACACCATGGCCAATGCACCTAACCTGCACATCCTTGACTGTGGAAGGAAACTGGAGCACCTGGAGGAAACCCACACAAACACAGGGAGAACATGCAAACTCCACACAGACAGTTGCCCAAGGGTGGAATTGAACCTAGGACCCTAGTGCTATGAGACAGCATTGCTAACCACTGAGGCACTATGCCACCCCATTTGCCTTCTAAATTGCTTGCTGCACCTGCATGTCAGCTTTCACTGACTTATGAACAAGAACCTTTGACATTGACACTTTCCAATATCTCATAATTTAAGAAATCTTCATCTTATTTTTTTCTACCTTCCTTACACTTATCCACATTACATTCCATCTGCCATGCTTCTGACCACTCACTCAGCCAGACTAAATCCTCCTATAGACATTTAACATCCTTTTTGCTGCTTGCATTCCTGCCAAATTTTGTATAATTTGCAAATTTGGAAATATTACAACTGATCTCCATATCAAAATCATTGATATAGATTGTGAACAACTGAGACCCAAGCATTGATCCTTATAATATTCCATTATTCATAGCCTGCCAACCTGAGTACAGCCCAAGTTTTAATTTTGTTCACTAATCTCATGTGTTGGACTTTACCAAAAGTCTTTTCAAAGTCCAAATATATCACATCCACGGTTCCCACTTATCGTCTCTATGATATTCTCAAAAATGTTAATGGTTTGTGAAACATAGAAACATAGAAGATAGGAGCAGGAGGAGACCATTCAGCCCTTCAAGCCTGCTCCGCCATTCATTATGATCATGGCTGATTGTCCAACTCAATAGCCCAATCCCGCTCTCTCCCCAAGATTTCCTTTTCACAAATTCATGTTGACTTTTCCCAATCCAACATTTATTTTTTAACTGTCCAGTATTCACATCCTTTATAATAGATCCTAGTATTTTCCCGACTAGTGATGTTAGGCGAACAGGTCTGTAATTGCCTGTGTTCTCTGTCCCTCCTTTCTTAAACAATGAAGTTACATTTGCAAATTTCTAATCTGCAGGCACCATTGCAAAATTAATAAAATTTTGAAAGATGATGCATGCACTATCTCTGTAAGTGGGTTATCTCTTTCAACCTCTAGATTGAACATTATCGTGACTTGGTGATGTCAACTATCAGTCCTGTTAATTTGGCCAATTTTACTTTTTTACTAACACTAATTCCTTGAAGTTAAACACGCTCATTAGACCCTTGGATCTTAATTATTTCAGGGAGACTCACTGTTCTTCCTCTGTGAGGACAGATGCAAAGCACTGACTTGGCTTTTCTGCCATTTCTCTAATTCCTATATTCCTCCTGTCTCTGCCTATAATGGACTGTTTGTCCTTCCTAAACCTTTTATTTTCATATATCTATAGGAGGTGCACACTCATTGGAGAGAAACCACTAGTAGTGGTTTAACCTGAAGGCCTTAGGTGAGGAGAGATTTTGAGTCCCCACTGCCTGTAGCCTGTTCTTCTTCCACCCCGCACTTGGAACTCCCTTCTTCTCTACCCTTGTAGCCCCTTTCTCTTCCCTCTTGCACCCCTTCTCCCAGCTCCCTCTTGCCTCCTCCTTCTTCCATCCCCTTGCAGCCTCCTTCTGTTCCCAAAGCCTCATCATAGTAACATCCCCTGCCCCCAAAGATAGCTGACTGATCTCCCATCTAGACACAACCTGGCAACAGCATCCTTTTTAAAATGTTTTCTATAAAGAGTCACATTTTTAATTTGAAAGAATGCATCTTCACATTTGAAATTAAATCAGCCTCACAGGTGGCATTAAATATTATGTTGAAGTAATGATGTGAAAAAAATTGATGGATGCATAACTCAATTTTTTTTACTAAGATTTTGCTCCCTAATGCATCTTTTCATTAGCTTGTAAGTCATCATAAGCATGCAACAATTATGTATTGAATAAAAAAGGAGGTAATAAGGACAATGCATCTTTGGAACTTCATACAAAATTGAAAGACAACTGGGATTAGCAAGATGGATCATTTTGAGCTCAGGCAAGCTATGACATGTGCTTTAGTATAATTCTCCAGAGCACATTTGAATCAGTATCATTAACCCTACAATGTATTATCAACAAACTATAAAACCAGAAATTGAAGCATATGGTAACATTTTAAGTACATATAACTGCCCTTTGGAAACAATTACCGTCTCTGTCAGAGAGACTGGGAGACAGTTCAACAAGACGTGCACTTCATTAATGTACAAATCAGCCAGCTAATTCAATGGACTAACAGATTCACCATGAATTGTGAATCTCGAGAACTGGCTGGTTGATTTACACTGCACCACTATTTACTCAGGCAAACAGTATCTTGCCCTTTGTCTTCTAGTTAAGTTTTAAGAACTTGCTGGATTTTCGTATTAATTGACCCTAAACCCACTGCAGAAAGATAGGTCTGGTAATTAAGAGCTTGATCATTTTTATTGCCACACAACCATGCTCACATAGAAAGGGATCTGTTTAAAAAGTTGACTTTGTTGTTAAATCTTTCCTTGAGTAATGAAATGTTGCTAGTGATTTAAGAAAATAATTTGAATTTTTTTTAAAATGACCTTTCAGTCTCTTAATCTATCCTCTCTTTTCCTCTCTTCATTTCTCATTCAGCACTGATTGAATGATTTTAAAGCACTACGAAAATCCCAGAAACTAATTGTCCTCATTCTTTGTAGCAAGTTGCAGTATAGAGAAATTTCCAGCTAAAGTGAGCTGTAAAAACTTCTACCAATGGCATGTGCAACTAGGGGTTACTTTCTTCCTTTAAATTCAGACAAGCCCTCAGCTGGAGCAAGACATACCCAAGGAACTGTGGCTGGTCAAATGAAATGATCTTAACCTGGAATGATAAATGGGTTTGGGTTAAGTCAAGTGGAGCACCATGTAGGATGTGTTCAGCCTGGTTAACTTATTGGTGAATGTGGGCGAGAAGAGAAAATCACCAAGTCTGTATATTTTGAAAGCTGGTAGATTTGGGCTGTATCTCTTAAGACCCCAAAAGGTTTGCATTATGCATGTGAAAAACTGCACATAAACACTTTGTGAAGCTCCCTACCAACAAAAAACATGGTGGCACCTAAATTAACACATTAAATATGCACAAACGGGATAGAATAACATCACTGGCGGGGATACTGGGCATGTGCATTTTGTGCTTGCCTGTTGAAAGTATTTCCAAGAGTGTCATTATATTATTGTGAATATTATATTCACAAATTGTCTGATGTATAATGACCATCCATTCACTGGAAATGCAAATGAGGGATTCAGACATGGAAATCAGCAGAGATTACTCATTTACAAATTAATGCTTCTGAATTAGGGAGCATAACTCTTCATTGAATTTTTATCGTTAATGTTTATTAGGGGCAGTTTAAAAAATGGATCTGAGCTCACTGGCAATCAGTCAAAAACCAAGATACCACAGATACTAGAAATCTGAAATAAATGCATAAAAGGCTGAAACCACTCAGGAGGTTAGGAAGTGTCTGTGGAGGGGAGGAGACAGGAGTGATAATGTTTTCAGATCTGTGGTCAGAGTTGTCAGTTGGGAACTGGGCTATTGGTTCTATCTGGACCTCGACCTCACAGAGGTGTCCTTCTGAATTTTTAAAGGGACCAGGCCTATTCATAGCAGGGAGTGGCGTCAATTAAGGCACCATGGGCAGTACTTCTGAAAAACAAAGCTGTTTGCATTTGTTTGTTAGT